CAGAGGTGTTCGGCGCGTGCACGTTCGCCGCGTCGCGCTGCCCACGCATGCCTTCCACAGTGGTGAGGGGCGCCGGGCCGTCTATCAGCGGGCGGTGCTCAATCTCAGTAAACAGACTCGCGAACGCCTTGCTAACGGCCGCGATATCCCCTCCAGTGCCGGCGCTATCGGGGGGGGGGGGGAAACAACGAAGAGCCAAACGCGCGGGTCGGGAGTTGAGAGAGAGAGAGAGAGAGAGAGAGAGAGAGAGAGAGAGAGAGAGAGAGAGAGAAAGAGAAAAAGAGAGAGAGTGTGAGAGAGAGAGATAGAAAACAAAAAATGAAGAAATACAGAAATATAGAAAACAACAAGAAAGAGAGAGAGAGAGAGAGAGAGAGAGAGAGATAGAGAGAGATGGTCGACATCACCTGGGTGTCCGCGGGCTTCTTGGATAGTGACGACATCGTAAGACTGACGCAAACGCCCGAACATGGAGTCATTCCTCCAACAATCCACGAGCGCACAGGGAAGGGAGAGGGAAGACAGAACATAAAATCGTACTCTCGATAGTGCACATCGCACGGTGCTGAACTACTTAAAAGTGGTGGCAGAGGCGAAACGAGCAAATCTGCAGGCAACTGAGGCACAGGCTGATCACGTGCGTCTGAGCCGCGCATCTCACGCGCGAGTGCGCTCCCACCGCCCCGAAGGAATGTTTCCCAGGGCGAAGTCGCCGGGGGTGTCCGCCAAACGCCATCCTACAGGCACGGCTTGTTCTTCGAACCGATACCGGTGATGAAGGAAATCTTTGTGTCAATGAACTGCCACTGGTACAACTCCTCTCGGTCTGGCACAATCGCAAACTGGTTGTCTTCCGTCATCAGCGTAAAAAGCGCCCATGGGTCCTTGTCCGTGGAGATCTGAAAACGTCCTGAGCCATAACCCTAGCAGCTCATACGCATGTGCCATTCGAAAAACCTTTGTTCGTGAGCTTGACCTTCATCGGTTCCCATAGGGTTCCCATAGGCATGAGAGAATCGTTTCCTTCATCCTCGCAGGCAGGGGGATATCACCAGGAACACGAATCGCAAACGTCCTGGCACGATCACGATCGTCAGACCAACTCGACGGGGACGTGAAGGCCCACTGTTTGAAACGGGTCGCCGCCTCAGGAGCCGTGAAAATCACCGGGTAGGAGTGGCTAGTACGCTGGAACTTAACCTCCGCGTCCGCGACCATATCTTGTGGCATCGGTGTCTTGTGCCGCTCCCGGTGCTCCTGGCCATACTGCGGAAGAGCTTCACGGGGCCACCCACCTATACATACACGGCACGGATTACTCTGGCCCTTGTCAACGGCAGCGTCCGTAAAGAGGTCAGAAGCGGCAGGAGTAGCAGCACGCTTGCGACTGTGACCGCGCTCAGAGCTAGCAGCAGTAGAACACGGGCGCGACATCGACGCAATCTGCTCGTCGAGTCTTGCCACGAGCCTCCATTCTCGCCTCCATTTCGGCAACAACAGCACGTTCTCGACCATCGCTATCCACGACAATGAGGGCATTAGGAATATGTTGAAACCTCGCCTCCCACTGAGTAGACATCGTAGACACTAAGCTTTGCATCTCCTGCGCAGACGAAAGTTGTTGAGCCTGAAGCCCTTGAATCTGGATCTCGAGCTGGTCGGTGCGGGGATTGGCCGAGCTGATCGCTGTGAACAACTCGCTTTTCATTGATCCAATCGTTTCCCAAATGTCGCCCCCCCCGACGCCATGGCAGCAGTAGGAGAAACGGGTGTAATTCGTGAAGTAGTGCTTACAGCAGCAAAATGCGTGAGCAAGCTGGCACTCTGCAGTGCAAAAGGGGAGCAATAACCTGCTCGGGCGAACACCTGCGATCCTAAGCGCGCACGGCCGCCCAGCCACCTCGAGACGGGGGAGTTCCCGATATTGCCACTTGAGCCAACATGGCTTGAGCCAAAATGCCTTGAGCCAAAATGTCATCGGTATGCTTCATATTGCCCGTGCTGCATTCTCTCCCGCCCGTCTCTTCCACCCTCCTTTTGTCCCACCATCCCCGTCCTTCCTCCCACATCCACCTTCCCTTTCCCCCTCCTCTTCTCCTCCTCCCCCCCGCCTCCACTTCCCCCTGGAATCCGCCCCTTCAGCCGCGGCCACCAGGCCCAATCTGGCACTTGCTCCTCCACACTGGTAGTCAAACGTGGGGTGGGGGGGGCGCGGTGGGAGTCAGCCCATCCTGGTCTATTCGACAGCTGTGCCTGTGCTCGGACTCCTTCAGCGTTGGCAACTGCCCGCTGCCCTGGTCTGAGCGGCGTGAGGCCTACCTCCATCACCACAACTCCCCAATCAGTCCCTGCTCTGTGAGGGGCCGCAGCGAAAGGAGAAGGACTTGCCGAAAACGTCAGGAAGTTCTGACGACAAAGCTGGGCCGATTTCGGTGGGCGGTCGGGTTCTGGGGCTCCGGGGTCTCCGGCGAAAGTACCAAACCCGATTTCGGTGGGCGGCTGGGTTCACCAGTTCCAGGGCTCCCGTTTCCGAGCCGCTTCCGGCGGGCGGCCGAGCTCTCAAGTTCCCAACTCTGGGGGTCCTGCTCTCGAACTTCTGTTTGCAGCCAGGATCCTGGGTCCTTGTGACGGCTAATCTCGCCGTCACCATGCCTTGCGCACGTGGCGGCGTGGAAGAATGCCAAGGGCTGTCTGGTAGGGTTTCTGTATTCTAGAAAGGGCCCCCCCCTGCTACCAGCATCTCACTGCATGCACCGCCCCCCTTCCTGAGGCCAAGACCCCTCGCGCAAAACAACGGACCCACGCTCCCGAGGCCACGACCACTCGTAAAAAACAGTGAATCCGCGTCCCGAGCTCACAAGACGGCCAATGCAGGCAACCAAGGACACCAAGATGGCCCAAGATGCCTCGAAGACGGCCCAAGATGGCCCAAAGGCGGCCCATTGTGGCCTCAAGACTGCCCACGATGCCTCCAAGAGGGCCACACGAGGCCTCCAACAGGGCCCGAGGAAGCCCAAATCAATATTTTCCCAGGCGTTTCTGCATGATCTTCGCATTCTTGTATTTTGAGGCTTCCGTCAGCTCGCAACGGCCCAAGAAGCGCCCACGATGGTCCCAAGACGGCCCACGAGGCCCCCAAGAGAGTTCCAAGAGGTCCCACGATGGCCAAGAGGCATCCGAGAGGGCTCCAAGGCGGGCCAAGAGGGCCTCTTGTGGATCCAGGACGGCCTTAGAAGGCCTCTCGACGGGCCCAGGCGGCCCCACAACTGCCTCCAGGCAGCCACCATACGGCCAAGAGGGGCCCAAGACGACCCAAGAGAGCCCCAAGACGGCTTAAGAGGGCCCCGAGACGGCCCAAGAGGGCCCCAGGGGGACCCCGAAGACTGCCTCACAGGATGCCAAGGCAGCCCCAAGACGGCCCGATCGAGGTTCATGATGACTCCTCAAATCGTGAAGACGACAGGTGTCACGTGTGACTGACTTCCTCTTCCTCCTTCTGTTCCTCTTCCTCCTGTTCCTCATCCTCCATCTTCTCCTCCTCCTTCTTTTCCTCCTCCTCCTCAGCATCATCATCACCACCATTACCAGCATCACCATTACCATCATCATCAGCATCAACAACATCATCATCATCATTTGCATTACCATCATCATCACCGCCACCATCATATCATCATCATCAGCATCATCATCATCATCATCAGCATCATCATCATCATAATAACCATCATGATCATAATGACGATCGTCATAACAGTTTTCGTAGTATTATTCATCATCATCGCCACCTTCCTCCTTCTCATCCGCTTCATCCTCATCCGTCATCCTCATCCTATTCCTCATCGTCATCATCACCGCCATCAGCATTGTCATCTTCTGCAGCACCATCATCATCACGATCATCGCCATCCTCATCCTCATCATCATGCTGATCCTAATCCTCATCATCATCCTCATCCCCACCTTCATCCTCATCACCACCATCATCACCATCATCATCATCATCGTCGTCGTCGTCACCGTCATCGTCATCGTCGTGATCATGATCATCATCATAATCATCGTCATCGTATCCCGCCTCCTCCTCATCATCGTCATAATCATCCTCATCCTCATTATCATCCTGATCCTAATCGTCATCCTCATCATCATCCACATCCTCATTCTCATCCACACCACCACTATGCGTATCATTATCGTCATCATCAACATCCTCATCCTTATCATCATTATCATCATCACCATCATCCGTATCCTCATCCTCATCCTCATTCACATCATCATACTCACTACCATCATCATCATCATCATCCTCATCGTCAGCATCACCCTTATCATCACCACCACAACCACCATCATCATCCGAAACATCATCATCATACTCATCATCATTCCGTCCATCATCATCACCATCATCATCAATATCATCGACATCATCATCACCATCATCACCGCCACCATCAAGAGCCTCATTCTCATCCTCATCACCACCCTCCCACCCTCGAACAAGCGACACCTGGAATTCTCGGCTGGCACGGTGGCTGGACTTGCCGCAGGCAGCTGGACATGCCCACCCTCGCTTTGCATTCTCTGACAGTAGTAGTAGTAGTAGTAGTAGTAGTAGTAGTAGTAGTAGTAGTAGTAGTAGTAGTAGTAGTAGTAGTAGTAGTAGTCGTAGTCGTAGTCGTAGTCGTAGTCGTAGTAGTAGTCGTAGTCGTAGTAGTAGTAGTAGTAGTAGTAGTAGTAGTAGTAGTAGTAGTAGTAGTAGTAGTAGTAGTAGTAGTAGTAGTAGTAGTAGTAGTAGTAGTAAAACCATTGCGAGTTGTATCGTACGCAGGAGGATGAGAAGGGGCCGAGGGAACTATCGGACGAGGAGGAACAGGAGGTGGAGGAGCAGGCGGAAGAAGGGGAGGAGGAGGCGGAGGAGGAGGATTAGGAGGATAACGAGGAGGAGGAGGATGAGGAGGAGACGGGAGAGGAAATTCCACCACCTGTGGAGCTTCGTGAGCCTCTCCCTCTCGTTGGGGCTGAGCTCCTTGGCGGGTAAGCATATTTTAATTGGGGGGGGGGGGGGGGGGGCGCGCGGCCCTTTTGCACGCACGCCCAAGTTCTATGTTTCTGCTCCTCGCCACACTCTCCATCCTTCGCCTCCTCATCCTTCCCTCCTTCTTCTTCTCCCCATCCAACTCTGTCTGCGTCTTCTCATCCTCTGTTGCTGCTGCTGCTCCATGCCTCTCCTCCTCATTCTCCCCCTCCTGGGGCCTTCCCTGCTCGGGTGGCGCGCGTGCTGGCCTGCAGCGCGCGCACCTGGCGCCGCCCAGCATTGGCTGCGTCGCGCCGGGAGTGGGAGGGGGCGGGGTGAAGGAGGGCGACGACGCCATCGAGGACAGACAGGTGAGAAGAGGCAAGGGGGGAGATGGCAATGAGACGCGCTGCTGCGCGCGCACTGTTCCTCCGCAGAGCTCGAGCCAACGAACGAAACGTGCGTGAGAAGGGGCTTCTGGATGTGCAGCGCGGGTGCACTCAGGCCCCTGCAACTGGCCCCGAGTGAGTGCGACGGAGTCGCGCATGACGTCCTTCGCGCCCTGCCTTGCCACGACCGTCGGGGGCTGCTCAAAGTCCGCGCGCGCATGCGTGGTGGCGCAGGCCGGCTTAAACTCTTCCGTTTTGAACAGACATGGAGGGATAGCACGCTCAGTCTGAGCGCGAATCCCGAAAAAGAGAACCGCATGTCCCGACAGTCCTCGATCCGACAAACGCGCGCTCTCATGCGCAACCTGCAGAATGACGCCGCGGAGCATGCGCTGAGACAAGCTGCCTGAGGGAAAGAAGCGATCGACGCCTGAGACTTGCAACCTGTGCGAGTCATAACGAGTGGGTAATTTCGTTCGTGATCTCAGTCGCGGCCACGCGCATTCGGCGCCGGCGAGCTCGCGCATGTTGGCCCTGGTTGTCGATGACAGGGGCTTGAGTGGATGGGGGGGGGGCGGAGTCAACCTGCGAGGTGGGTGGGGGTGGGGGGCGGAAGGAGCGATGGGGGAGACTCAGGAGTGTTAGCGCCACCGAAAGCAATGAACCTGAAAGTGCGTTCGTGCTGCTGGGCATGACCTCTGGGCAGCCCAGGAACGCTAGATCCCGCTGACGTCGGGAGCGGTCAAATTGCGATTATGGACAATGAGCAGACACGTGGAACAGGCATGCGCGGGGGAAGAAACGCGCAGCGCGGCTGCTCGGCCATGCGCGATCGCGCGCAGAGCGCGCGCTGGCTTCAGCTCGTCAGGCACAGGCTGATGTCGGGGATGTCTAGGCACGAGAAAAGCCACGCCGCCCACTGAAACATCCGTACCTGGCATGAAGCATTCGCGCGCGTGCGGGGCGTCGTCCACCGGCCGCTGAAGACGGCGGACATCTCCTCGGACCTCCCGAAGGATAACGAAGCGCCGTTGGCGCATGCATTCAGCGACACATTGAACTTTGGCGTTTCTTTTCCGATATTCAATGCGCAGTGAGCTGCGGGCGTTCGAACGCAGCGCTTGACATCCGTTCTGAGCGTCGCGCAGAAAAGGGCCCCCGCGGAGCCCAACGTGCGTTGCCGAGAAACATTCACTAAAGACCTCCTGCGACGCCGACTGGACAGCGTCGAACTGCGCCGTCGCAAGTGCATTCCATGCGACACGAGTGGGTTCGTCTTGCCCGCGAGGCTCGAGCTGGCAGCGCGCGCGGCGTTGGCCGAGAGTTGGAACTGGGCGCGTCTGCAACGCCGCGTAAGAGACGAGTAGTTTTCCTCCGGGATCTTGCACGTCGTCTTCGGCTGCGCTCCTCCGCGCACTATATTGGGACTTTTGTCCGTCGAGGCAAAAGTCGGGACAACTGTAATTCCTGCGGATAGCACTGAGATTGATTGCCATCCAGTGGACGTCCGTACGCTCCGCGCGAGTGCTGTGGCTCTCGAGCTTGCTGCAGCCTCGTTCCCGAACGCTCGCACGGTGAATCGCCTTGCCGCAGCATCACCGACCAGCTCGACATGTCTGGAGCCTAATTAACGTCAGCAATCCAAGCAAACAGAGAATTTCGAACAGCTTGGGGAGTCGCAGGCGCGGCGATGCCCACAGAGATGAGCTGGTCCACGGCCCGATCCCAGGTCGTTCTCAACACCAAACGGGAGCAGAACTTCTGCCATGGCCAGCTGCTGGAGAATGGTGTCAACCTCTGTACGCATGGAAGCCTGGGCAGCAGCAGCTTGATCTTGCCGCTGCCGTAACTCTTGAACCTCGCGAGATTGTGCGTCCAGCCGGCGGTGAATGCGAGCCTTCTGCTGCACGAACGTGCTGCGTAGCCGCGATGCCGCTGCCGCGGCAGCGGCGCTCGCCGCAGAGGCAGCGGCTGCAGTCCGAATAGCATCCATGTCCACGCGAGAGGCATCACGAAGGGGCTGCTCCATTCTCTGCATAACAGTTTGGTTGCGCCAGGGGTCATTTGCTTGCAAGGAGTCCACGGAGGTGTTCGCGCCACCAACAGGTGTGCCTCCAGCCGCACACTCAGCAGCGGCATTTAACTGGCCAAAGGAACTTGACCTTCAGGAACAATAGGCGCTGCATCCAGCTCATTTCCGAGACGGGAAGCTTATTCTGGAGAGAGACTGAGCGCGGCAGACACAGCAGCCGCGGCGCCGATGGCATTACGAACGCGTTGCGAAGAGCCAGGAGCAGGAACACTGGCACGACCAGAGCGACGATCCCGACCACCACGTTCAGCACGGGGAACGCCACAAGCGCCTTCGTCGCGATCCCGATCACGATCTCGCCCCCGCTTTTCGCGCAACGCACGTCCCAATCGACGAACAAGTTGGTCGTAAAGATCTCGGTGGCGCCGCTGGTCCGCTGTGTAACTCCGACTGAGGTCAATATTGGTATAAACGGAGGCGCTTTCATTATCAGAAAAAGGCATGGGATCAGCAGGCCACTGCCATGCACCGCCACGCAATCGCCACCAGAGACCACTATGGCCCTGCGGATGCAGGCAAGAAAGGGTAGAGAAACTGCGGGCGCGCGATAGATGCGGGACACCTGCTGGGGCCACTAGATGGGCCAGTCCGTGGAATGGCGCGACACGCGCCGTGGCCACCTGAGGCCGGAAGATGGCTCGGGCCACCTGCTGATTTGGCCGGTCTTTCCATCTTTGTACTCTACGTAGATTGACGAAAGCCTTTGATCGAGTAATTCGCCAGCTTCTGTATGGGTGGGGCTCCCGCCCGGCCGCTGAGCACCGGCAATATCTGTTGTCACTCGGAATGTCTGCCGTCTCCGCAGACTGGATGACAGCATACCTGGAGCAGCACGGCCCCCTATTACAGCAATGGGGTGTTGATGAAGTTGTGGCGGATATGATCCGCACCTTGCATGATGGCTCCTGGGTGGGAATGTCCGATCTCCCCACATGCGTGACAAGCCGCACAGGTGGCCGCCAGGGCTGTCAGCTCGGAGCGCATGTCTTTAACGGCGTGCATGGGATCGCTTTGACGCTGATTGCGGACAAGCTCCGCGAAGGGTGTGTGTGTCTTCGCTTACATTGCCCCCGGGGCCCTTTCTGGGAATCCCCTGGCCCAGGCGATCTCCCCAGCACGTCAGTTTTAGATGCCGCCTTCATCGATGATGCGGCTTTGGCCATCGTAGCTTCGAGCCCGACGCAGCTTGACAAGAACATAGATCAGCTGCTGTCTGTTATTTTCGATGCTTCGGCCAATTGCACCTCCAGCTTAATGCCTCCCCTGGCAAAACGGAAGCACTCTTGATGTACAGGGGCCCGAAGGCCACGGCGTGCCGAGAAGCCCGCCGTCAGAGTGATGGCACCCTCCGTATCTCTGTCCCCGGCAGCGGCATATCCAGCACTTAGGCACTGGCTCGTCCCTCCAGCGTGCTGACATGTCTGATGCGCGAGCGAAAGCGGCCAAAACGCTCGCTGCGTATGGCCCGATTTCATGTGAAGTGTTTGCTTCTCGTCTCATCCAGATTTATCACAAATTGTACTTCATGCAGTGTCTGCTGCTCACTCGGCCGCTTTTCAACATTCATGTTCTTGTGCCCTCTCCTCGCCACCTGAAGTGTTCGAATGCAGTCTACATGACCGTCCTCAGAAGGATCTTTGGGGAACCTCGATTTGCTGCCACCCCCCCACACGGACCGCGAGGTACGGGAGGCGCTCCGAGTGTCTCATTGCCAGGCTTCGTCTGAAATACTGCGCCCGCCTTGTGCGCACGAGGCCGCAGGCGCTGATTCCCATCTTGCACGCCCGCCCGAAGGGCAAACAGCTTCGGTGGATCCACGCCCTGGAGACTGATGCCGGATTTCTTCGGCCCCACCTCCCTCCTGATCTGCCCGCCCTTTCTGATGATCCTCCAGCGTGGGCCCACCTGATGCTCGATCAAGATGCTTGGAAATCACTCGTTGATGCCATTTTCTTTACAGACTCTGCATGCGATCAGTCCCCTGCCCTGCGCCCAACGCCCGGAGTAGAGGCATATGTTTGCTGCGAGTGCGGCGAGGCCTTCAGCTCGTCTCGCGGACTCCAATCCCACCGGCGCGCGAAGCACGGGAAGCGCAATGAGATACGCTTCTATGTGTTCGGATCCACATGCCCATGCTGTGGAACAGATTTTGTCTCGCGCCTCCGCCTTCTGTCTCACTTGTCTGACACGCGTCGGCCTAAGTGTCGAACCTTTGTGCTTGATCACTGTCCTCGGCTCAGTGCCAGTACAGTACAGCAACTTGACCTGGTTGATCGCGACTTGCGTCGTGACGCCCAGCAGGCAGGCCGCAGCCATCATATTGCCACTGCTCCTGCTCGACGGGCTGACGGACGGATTATTGGCCGCGTCTCATCCTGATCATTCAGATTGTGGTTAGTACCACATGTGTGCACACCTGTACAGTAAATTTGGTGTTCTCTTGAGACTGTCATTCCTGGCGTAGTATATATGTATACCAAAACTAATCACTGATTTTCGGGGGTCTATAGCCCTTCAGAACGTTTAGCCTTGAGCTAAAATGGCTACGGAGGATGAAGAGGACGACGACGAACAGCACGAAGAGCAAGAAGAGGAAAAGGAAGATGAGGCAGGGACGCGAGAGCGGTCAGCCAGGCGCAACGTGACCCGACAGGTCAGAAGCGCGAACAAGCGCCGCAGGGGGAAGAGCATCACAAGTACACTACGTAGCGTAGGAGGTGGAAGCGGAGGCGGAGGAAAAGAGACAATAACAACCAGGATGCAGGGATGGGCGGGTGCCACGGTTGTGGTTTTGGCCCACGGTGGATGCAGGTCTCGCAGATGAGGCTCCTTGAACGCCTCGCTGACAGCGCTCTCGCTCGCCTCGCCGTTGGCAGACTCAAGGCACAACAGCCGCGTGAGCGCCTGGTGCTCTGGCGACGTGAAGCATGCGAGTGCCTGCGGGGCCGCCCACCAACCAAACCGCCAGAATTCCAGCTCGACCGTTCGCATTCCCAACAATGATGCTGCGACATATGCTCACACACGGACACGGTTATACTTGTAATGCGTATGTACTCCCATTCGTATCTCCAGCGTGCCTCACCCAGCGGAATTACCCCCAACAACAACGTTACCCCAGCACGGTGGAGGTTTTAGATAAGGATACCTTCGATAAGGAACCCAGGGTCTCGCGACCGATGGGCGGCCAAACGTGGGCCACTCACCTCGCCTTGAGACAATAAGGAATGCGTCAGGGTCTGGGCCCCAGAAAGACGTTCCTTATCCAATGCCGCCACCGTACGAAGTATGGCCGTCCGCTGTTACAGAATCTGGTTGGCTGGAGCTGGACATGCATGCAAGCACGCGCCACGCAAACTCGCAAGACGCACATACAAGCACTGGGACAGCAGGCTTGAACCCACGCAGACAAACTGGTCATGCTAGGAGTGGAAACGCTGCGACACCACATGTCGGTGTGCCTTCTCACGCCGGCGTCGGTTTCCAGAAGTTCCCCCAACATGCAAGCCAATACGTATCACTGATAGCTCTAGCCAGAGCCTCGGTGCCCGACTGCATCGGACCGTTGCATGTGCACATCCACCCCTACTCTCCCCATCCCTCCTCCTCCTCCTCCTCCTCCTCCTCCTCCTCCTCCTCCTCCTCCTCTCCTTCTCGTCCTCCTCCATCTCCTCCTCCCCTCCTCCTCCCCTTCCTCCCTTATGTCTCCACTCCTGCTCCCTTTCCAGAGTGCAGCGGTTCTTCCTCCTCCTCCTCCTTTTCTTTCTAAGCCTTGTGGGTCGGGGGCCTCGTCCTCCTCCTCCTCCTCCTCCTTCTCCTCCACCTCCTCCCGCCCGCCCGCCCTCCCTCCCTCCCGCCCGCCCTCCCTCCCTGCCGCCCGCCCGCCCGCCCTCCCTCTCTCCCTCCCCCCTACCTCCTGCTTCTCTTGCTGCCAAGCCCCTCCTCCCTATCCTCCTACCTCTCCTCTGGCCCTCTCTCCTGCCCGTCCTGCTCCCCCTACCTTGCTGCTTGATGCTTCTGCTGCTGTTTTTCCTCCTCCTCCTCCTCCTCCTCCTCCTCCTCCTCTCCCTCCTCCTCCCTCCTCCTCCTCTCCTCCTCCTTCCTTCCTCTCCTCCCCAAGCCTTCCTCCTCCTCCCCCTTTTCCTCCCCTCCTCCCTCATGTTTCTCCGCTTCTTCCTCCTTCCTGTTCCTCCTCCTCCTCCTTCTTCCTCCTCGTCCTCCTCCTTCTCATCCTCCTCCCCCTCCCTCCTCCTCCCCCCCGTCCTCCTCCTCCTCCTCCTCCTCCTCCTCCTCCTCCTCCTCCTCCTCCTCCACGTCCTTCTCTTCCTCTTACTCCCCTTCCTCCTCCTCCTCCTCCTCCCTCCTCCCTCCCTCCCTCCTCCCTCCCCTCCCTCCCTCCCTCCCTCCCTCACTCCGTCCTCCGTCCTCCGTCCTCCGTCCTCCTCCTCCCTCCTCCTTCCTCTCTCCACCTCCCTCCTCACGGGTGGGCTGCGCAGCAGGCCCATCCCCTCTCGCCGCGCCGCCTAGCGCCGCAGCCTTGTCCGCGCGACGGACACGAGAACGAGCGCATCCCTTCTGTTCGCGCATGGACACACAGCGCCAACACTGCCGCGCGCAGTCAGGTCCTGAGCATCCGAAGTCATGCGTGGGCCCCGCATACTGGAACCACCTGTGAGTGAGCCAAGCTTCAGACAGAGTCCGCGCCGAGGCGAACGCGTGAAACACTTTGAACTTCGACGTGATGATGGCGGCGGCTTCCCCATCCACAGCATCGATTTTCTCGTCGAGCTCAGGGAACCAGCTCTGGAGCCGGCGGGGGGAAAAGGACTTTTAACGCATCCGCAGGAAAAGGGGTGACCGTCGAAAGGACCAGAAAGGTCTTTTAGATTCTAACCCGTCGCGCGCATCGGCCCCCCCGTGCCAGGGAGGCGGCCTGAGACATCAATCTACGAACTTCCTCATTCCCAGGGGCTGGGTGCTCCAGACACGGGTCGTCGGGGATGCCAGCGGCAGCCAACATAAAACGTTGATGCAGGGCGGGCTCTCCCCACCATCCTGTGGACCGTTCTCCTCGCGCAACTCCGGCAATCGGAAGACGTCTCGCTGCCAAATGTTTTTCCTGGCGAGCAAGGGTGGGCTGGCAAGCGGCGAAAATCGAGATGGCCTCTCGTCCGTGTGCGTCGTTGGCGGAAACAGTGATCGACCGTGCTCGATTCCCACTTCCACTTCCCCATCCCAAACCATCAAACTCGATTGAGGGCACAGTGCGGGATGTGAGAAATCTTGGCCAGTATGGCGGCCTTCTGGCCGAACGATTTTCGCGGCCGGGGGGGGGGGGCTGGGCAACGTGCGATGGCGCAGTCAAGCAGCGAAACGCGCGCAGCTGTGCTGTCGCACTGGTAGGCGGGCAGGCCCCCGCAAGCTGGCGACCCCTAGAGCGCCGTTTCCGAAGAGGCCCAGCCCGCGATTTCGCGCGCGAGTTGGGTCCCGCCCGCGTCCCAAGATGCTTGAAGTTCAGGTATTAGCCACTACCACCATCATCATCGAATCACCATCACCATCACCATCACCAGCAGGATGATGATCATCATCATCGTCATCATCAGTATCACCATCATCACAACACCCACCACCCTCATCCCCATCATCACCATTATCACCATCACCACCATCATCATCACCACCATCATCATCATCATCATCATCATCGTCATCGTCATCGTCATCATCATCATCATCATCAGCATCATCACCATCACCATCACCATCACCATCACCATCACCATCACCATCACCATCACCATCACCATCACCATCACCATCACCATCACCATCACCGCCACTACTACCATGATCCCCACCACCATCACCACCACCACCATCACCATCACCGTTATCGTCATCATCCCTATCACCATCATCGTCACCGCCATCATCACCACCACCTGCCGCGCTGCGCCTCTGGGCCCGCGCCCGGTCGCACCCGCACCGGCGGCCCCTCTGGGTCCCCCGCGCCTGCCCGTCACAGCTCCGCCTTCCGGCGCCTGCCCGCGCCGCCGCGGTCTGGCGGCGGCACTCCGCCCCGGCGGCGGCGGCCCCTGTCGTGGACGGAGAGGCTCGGAGGCGACGATAGGGGCGAATGGCACATGGGGGGGCCTTCTCGTCAGGAAGAGGAAGAGGAGGGCAATTGGATTCTCTTGCTCCTCCTCCACCTCCTCCTCCTCCTCTTCCCGCTTGCTCCTCCTTCTCGAGGCCGTCCCCCCTACTCGCGCCCCCCCCCTTCGCGACGCCCATTCGGTGTACATACGCCCTCCTGGCTTGGCCGGGAGTGCATGTACTCGCCGGTCGGAAGAAGCAGGTAGAGACATGAAGTAGGAAGGCGGCAAACAAGGAGATTGGGTTCAGGCCCTCCCAGAGTAGCAACACATCTCAAAACCGTGCCGATTCTTGAAGTAGGGCGGCGCTGGAACCAGATTGGGATCTGGGAATCCAGGAACACCCACTTTCAACGACCGGCGTGTATGGGCGGCGCGCACAAGGTGGTGGAGGGAGGGAGGAAGGCTTCTCAGAAGAAGGCTGCTTCTTAGAAGGCGCCGGCCTTACATCTATAGATAAGGCCCGCGCCTTCTAAGAAGCAGGGGTGCTCCTAAGAAGCCCTCCCCCCTCCCCCCACACCCCTCTGCGAGTGGCTGAGTGTACGTGCTCCCAGAGTTAAGTCGGGCGTGTCCACCTACAGGGGGATTAAACAAAACACATTCAAACAATACTCCAAACTTGTCAAGCAAACATAATAAAAAAATAGTCCCCAGCCTTTTTTTTGACTGTCTTTTAATATTACCCCTGTAGAGGGACAGGCCCGACTTAAGTGTACGTGCATCCAGAGGCGCCGATGGCGCATGTCTTCGGCGAGACTCCCCAGCGAGTGGGAGCCATGCCCGCCCCTGGGCTGTCCGCCCCCGTCGTCGCCTCCGAGAAGCGGCTGCCGCTCCACGACGGCGCGCCGGGAACGCCCGGGCGGTACCACTGGGCCAGCGTCGTCCTCCGGACCATGCCAGGGGGGGCCACCACTGAGGGGGTCTCCACTTCCTGGGAGGGAGCGAAAGGGGGGGATAGCAAAGGGTAGGGTCGAGAATCGGCTCACGTAGCCGATTCTCCCGGCGCCTCCCGGCGCCGGGAGGCGCCCATGTATCGAGGAATGGACCCGGCGGCGGGGCCGAAACCAGCTGCATGCAGCAGATTTCGTACCCCCCCCCTTTCCCTATCCCCCCCTTTCGTTCGGCCCGAACTTCCTGGGAGGAAAGGGGGCCCCGCCTGGACCCTGCCAGGACTCCCCGGGACTCCCAGAGATGTCCCACCCAAACGTCCCAGGCCTCCTCGATCCTCGGTGCCCAGGTGCAGGTGAGGACTCCCCTGGTGGTGACCCCACTTGGTACTGCCCGAGTCTTGTTGCCCTCCAGAACCGGGCACTCCGCGTATGTCGCCTCGAATTCTGGGTCGGGGTCGTAGGCGAAGAAGAGGATGTCGCCCCTGCGCGGCCTGAACTTCATCGACTTTGGCAGGTACGTGCTTGGACCGCCCGTGAAAACGGTCGCCCCGCCCTCTTCGGCGGCCTCGCAGTATATCAGCGTTGTCGCCACGCGTCGCCACTCGTTACTGTCGCTCCCTCGTTGTGTCCTCGCTCCGTCATGATGAGGTCGGTGTTCGAAGCCTTTGATGTAGTGGTACAGCTTGATCTTCTCTTGGCCCTCGTTCATCGGCACGTCCACGTCCAGCATGTCGGAGGCCAGGTCGAACGAACGGGCGGCCAAGCTGCTCAGCGTATCCTCGACTCTCCAGTTCACGCGCAGGCTGGTCGAAAACATCTCTCGGTCCGCTCTCAACCTCTCCCGCGACGCGGCACAACCGCTGACCACGGGATCCATGGCCAGGCCTCTCGTCTGCGCCGCGCCGGCGAGCTCCTGACACTCGGCCTCGCTCGCGAAGCCGCGCACCGACGCCACCATCGGGGACTCGCGGAGGATCTCCAGGTCGTGCCCAGTCCTCGTTCGCACCGACCGCAGGGCGGGCGTGGGCTCCCGGAGCGTGCACAGGTCCCAGAAATCCCAGTCCACCCAGCTGTTCGGGTGCTGCCACAGGTGGTCCGGGCCGAAGGTGGTCCTGGCTTTTTCGGGAGGGCTCAGGTGGCCTCCAGAGCACCCCTCGCAGGGCCAAGATTGCCCCACGGGGTGCGAGAAGGCGGACCAAAACTGGCACCTTGGGCCACGACCACCTCTGGCAACCTCCGGGATGTCCAGGAACACGCGCTCCGTGAACTTGGTCGGCGCGATGCCGCCCAGGAAGGCCTGGGCCACACAGCCCCAGTCCATCCTCGGGCAGCCATACGCAGACCTGGCCAGCTCCGCTTGCAGGTCGTTGGTAGGGGGCCGCGTGCGAACCCTACCCCTGCCCCCCACGAGTTCTGAGGGGGAGGGTGGGGTTCACTTCGTTCGGGAGCTCCCGAGCGAAGTGACCCCCCCCTCAGAATTCGTGGGGGGCACCCGTCGTTCATTTCTAATCCTGCTCATTTCTAACTGTGCTCGCTTCTCATTGTTCCTGGCACCCTAGTGGCCAGGAAGAGGCCCAGGATAGGATAATTAGAAATGAAAGGGTCTTGGCCCCCCAAAAATCAAAGAACTCTCGAATACTTAGAAGTGAACAACGTGTAGGGGTAGGGTTCGCATGTGGCCCCCTAGTTGGTGTCGAAGGCTCGGCAGCCCTCGCTGTCCACCACCAGGCCAGAGTGCCGGCCGGCCGTGCCTTCGGCCAGGCGCCCCGCGTGCTCGACGCAGCCGTGCGCGGCCTCGAGCTCGAGCTCCGCGGGCCCCGCCGGGAGCTCCTGGAAGCCTCCCGGCTTCACAACCACGTCTCCGACGGCCAGGTCGTGCGCGCCCCGGTTGGCCAGGAAAAAGATGCCGTCTGCTCGCTGGGGCTGCACGAGCGCCAGCCCCGACGTCAGGAGCCGCGTCGAAAGCGGCATCGCGCTGGGCGCGTCGGAATCCGAACGGGACAAAAATCGGCTGGGTTGGAAAATCTGGGCACCCCTGGAACCAACATGACTACATAATGATGAGACGGCAGCGTGCTGAGGAGGAGGAGGAGGAGGAGAAGGAGGAGAAGAAACAAACATGATGCGGGAGGATGGAGGAGCAGGAAGGGGAGGAGGAGGAGGAGGAGCATTGGGAACATTGGGGTAAGATGACAACGTAGGTCAATGACAGTGCCCAGAATGCAAGTGCAGAAACTTACAAGGCAAGGCTAGGAGCCCAAAGCCTCCCTCACCGCTTTGGGGGGGCCTCCTGGGTGTGGGTATTCACCCCGATCGATGCGGGCAAGGTTCTGTCTGCCCTTAGCCGAGGGCTCGCATCGAGGGACGAGCTGCCGTGCATCAGTCGTGCACGTCTTCCCGCACTGGGAGCACAAATTTAGCATGAATTTTCGCCAAAACTGGAGACGATGGGTCACATGGAAGGTTTTCCCCCACATACCCCGCGGGCCCGAATAAGGCGAGAACTCATTAGTTCCTCCGCCCCTGCAGGGAGATTCGCAAACCTGGAAAATCGAGTCCTGGTTAGCGAGCAAATCGCATCTCCTACACCAGAATTTCGGGCCCGCGCGGGCCCACAGATGAGGCGAGTCCCGAAGCGAACGAGCGAGCCTCGGGAGCGCAGCCTCACCTCTGCTGGGGGGCTGACACTCCGCGGTCCATGGATCGGCTTGGATACTGCACGCTAGAGCTCTCCGCGCCCGACGACGAATCAGCGAGGCCATGACATCCCGCTCATCAGTGCAAGGAACAGGAGCAACTACATACTGAGACCACGCAATCTCGGCCATGAAGCCAGCAAGCGAATCGGCCGATTCATTACCAAACATGTGAAACAACTGCTGCACAGTCGGGACAGGCACCTGATCAAGCTCTACGTGAGAGGGCGTCCAAACGATATCGATCACACCAGGTCCACGGGAGGCGACAGCCTTCAGGATATCGGACCAGAAATCAGCGTTCGAACCCAACGTCCAACACGACTCGCCAACACGCTGAATTCTGCTCCAAGTATCCACCAACGGCCTGTGATCGGTGACAAAGCGCAGATTGCCAGAAGACACACTAAGAGCCATGAGAAACGCCAGGAGCTCCGCGCGAGGCACAGACTGTCTTCTGCCCCCGAGGGTGGACCCACGTCCCGCGGAGGGCTCCCACGAAGACCCGACAGGAGTGAGGCCTATGATCCCCGCCCCGACCCTGCGACGCCGAGGGTCGCTCGAGAAACGTCCCCCCGACCCGTCACCGAAGATCGTCACGAAACCTTCGGCGTCGCGGGGAATCAGGTCGAAAGATCCAAAATCTACAACCGTAGGAGGGAGAGGAGCGAAGGTGGGCACGGTCTCACTCATTCCAGGCACACCTCGAAGCCAGAATCCAGGATACGCTGCATGCTGTGCCAGTGCCTCTGGATACAAATGCTGGGTATCATCGAAGTCCTTATGCTGGGTGTTAGCAGAAAATTCCCACACCCTGTGGAACAAAGACTCTGGTTTCTCAAGGCACCGAGGACACAAGCTGGAGACAACGTAGCCTGCATCCTTTTGCCTCTGGCGAGGCCATTGGCCCCCGCTCACCACCACGAGGTTGAGCGCCACCACGTCCTCGCCGTTGACGTCGGAGAGCCGGTCGAATTCACGATGAATGTGCATCATATCCGCACCTCTGGCCATGTCTTCGCCCGCTTCGTGAGGTCCAGCGGCAGCCCACAACAGAGTATTCACAGTAGCTTCCACATCATCCAACAGGTCCGTGAAGTCGGGGCTGAAATCAGAGCAGGCCTCGTCAGCACAAGAAGGGATGGACCACACATGAGACTCAGACTCCCATTGCATAGGACTGTGCGGAATCCAACCAATGTCCATGAGCGTGGCAACAGTAGCACCAATAGGGCCTTTGACGACCTTCCACCGTCGAGTCCCTGCCAATCGCAACCGAGAAAAAATCTTGCCCCAACTTAGAGCAATTCGAGCATGAAGGTCAGGATGCCCTCGCCACATCTTCAGCCAAGCCGCCGAGTGTTCACGCCGAAGGACCTTAGCAGGATCATGCCTACCAAGAGCAGCAGCAATGGAAGACGTGAGACAACGACCAGGGCCAGAACCAACCGCACTCTGAGCCGCCTGCCGCCTCAACTGCACCAATAGATGACGAGGGACTCCATACGCTTGATGAGCATAGGTCCCTTGCGGCTTCGCCCCTGTGGACCACAGCGCACTGGTGACCTTACGGAGCTTGGCGTGCTTACGCATTCGACGAATAGCCATGGCCCGAGACTTGGCCCTCTTGACACGATCCAAAGCTGTGTGTCGGGAACGATATCTGCCATCAGACGCGTCCATCCCAAGATCCACCGCATGCCGAACTGCAGTGACTGGAACTCCAGCACGTCGAAGCTCATTGCTAACCTTGAGAGACAAGGAATCTGACGAGGAGATCACCACAGTCTTGGGACTAACCGTTAGTCCAGATGAAACGAAGTCATTGCACAACGAACTCCCCGATTCCACAAGAAGGTCGCCAACAACTCTCTCTGGACCTTCTACCCTCAACACCGTGTCGTCCACGAAGGAGGAGGAGGAGCAGCAGGAGGAGGAGGAGGAGGAGGAGGAGGAGGAGGAGGAGGAAGCGGAGGAGAAGGAGGCGGAGGAGGAGAAGAAGGAGGAGGAGGACGACGACAACGACGTCGACGACGACGGACATCCGATTTTCACGTCCCTCTCGATTGCTGCCTTTCTTTGCCATTCCAGACTGCTCTAGTATAGGCCCAGGAACACTGGACAGGCTTACTGGGAGCTTCGAGATCCCACCGAGCGTCCAGGAGGACGCCACAGCCTCTCATCCAGGAGGCCAGGTGGCCCTGCGGAGGGCCCCCGGATTGAGAATCCCCGGCTGACGCTGCGGCTGCTCTTTGGAGCCCCTACGCGGAGCTATCCCGTGCGACCTCTTGTTCGACGTGCCCGGCAGTCGCCCTGGAATTCCTGGGGGGCGCCCTCGACGCGCGACGGCCCCTCGTAGACATGGGGCGACGCTCGCATTCGTCTCCAAGGTCTGCCAGGGCTGCGGCGGGCTCGGCACAACGCTTGCCGCCGCTGGTGTACCTCGTGGTGGGGCTCGTGTTCGTCTCCAAGGTTCTGGGCAGGGCCGCGCCCCCCCTCACATCAACGTGGTGGCCTCAGAGTTCCATCGTGGAGATGGTCGCGTTCGTTTCCAGGGCTTTCGCCGCGGCGGCGGCCCCCTCATCACCGATCCTATTGGAGTCGAGGCCCATTGTGGCGAAGGCTGCGTTCGTATCCAAGGCCTTGGCCAGGGCTGCGGCCCCAATGTCACCAATTCCGTTGCTGCTGATATTCATCGTGGAGATGGTCGCGTTCGCCTCCAGGCTCAGCTGCGGCCGACTCATCGCCAATCTTGTTGCCTTCGAAGGGAATCATGGAGATGCCCACGCTCGTCTCCAGGGCCTTCGCCGGGACTGCACACCCCTCGGTAACAGTCTTGTTGATTTAGAAATAAATCCATGGCGGTAATGCTCGCGTTCATCTTCAGGGCCTTTGCCAAGGCTGCGGTGCATCGTGGCGACGGTCGTGTTCGTTTCCAGGGCCTTGGCCGAGGCTGCGGCCGCCTCAGCACCAAAACACTTGGTGCTTCAGGGGCAGGTCGCGGCGATTGTCGTGTTCGTCTGGCCACGGCAGTGGCTCGCTCATCGCCCATCTTGTTGAAACCGAGGCCCATCGTGGCGTAGGTCGCGTTTGTCTCCAGGGCCTTGGCCAGGGCTGCGGCCCCATCATCACCGATCTCGTTAATGTCGAAGTGATACGTAGCGATGCTCGCGTTCGTCTCCAGGGCCTCTGCCAAGGCCGCGGCCTCCTCATCACCACTTCGTTCTTCCCTGAAGTCCATCGTGGAGATGAATAAGGGCCTGCTGGTTTCAGCCGTCACGCCTTGCATGTGGGCGAATTCTTCGGAACCTCGAGTCGGATCGAAAAAGCGTTTGCCTTCCGCTTCGGCAACGAGCAATGCTACAGTGGAGACCAGTCCACAAGAAACCTCCAACGAGAAATCCAATCCTGAGACCCCAGGGCGCCCATCGATTTTTGGCGTGGGAACGTCGCGCTTTCCATCGCAGAACCATCGAAACCAAAGAAACCCAGGGCACCCTGGAGGCAAGCAGGGTGTTTCTTGGCATGGGTCTCCACTGTACATGGGGGGCAGCATGGCGGTGCCTTTGAAGAAAACAATGGCTCTGCGAGTCGTAAGTGCGCTTCTCGTCCTGCTGTGTGGCTGCCACTTTGGCCGCCGTCACATCCTGGTACGCGGGGAGGCTTGCGCAACCATGTCGGCGGGAGCTCCTCTCCTTGGGCCAAGCTGGCGGCGGCTTGGGCCAACGTGGCGGCGTTCATCTTGGTAATCCTCTAGTGCCAGTACTGTGAATCATCTTCTGGAAGCTGCGGCTGGCAAACGTTGCTCGAGCCTGTCGAGTCGAACGCCTCGAGTGCCCGAGGCCTTCTCGATGGGGCGCCGATCCTGTGTTTGGGCTGCTCTGTTTTTTCCCCCCAAAGAGGATCATCGCTCCCGCTTTCCACACGCATCAGGGATGTGGATGGGAGACGCGCGCTGAGTTACAGTCAACGCGTGCAAGCATCATTCGCCATAGGGGTGCACGGGCCTTGGAAGGCCATGCCGACCACTTTCGAGCGGGGCGCGGATAGCGAAAGTGGCAGAGGATGGGCCGAAGGGGAATGATGCAAGGGTGACCTTGGAACGACGCTCATCCTTACCATGCGCGTTGACTGTGCTGCACCCCATCTCAATGCTCAAGCGGGGGACCGAAAACGTCCGCTCAGCGCGAACGCGAAAAGCGCGAGCGGAGAGGCTTGGGCCAAATGGCGGCGGGAGCTCTCTGGAGTCCAAGTGGGGAGCTCCCGCCGCGTGATGAGACCCCCAGACTGAGTTTGACTCTTGGTATGGCGAAGCTGCGGAGGGGTAGCCTGCCGCTGTCAGCTCCTCTTTTGACAAAGACACGCGGCCACCAACAGGAACCATTATCTGGAGAGGCGGCTCGCGAATGTGGCTCGGGCCTGTCGAGTCGAGCGTCTCGAGTGCCCGAGGCTCTCCTCGAGGTGGCTCAAATCCGTTGTCTGGACTGTGAAGCTTCCCCAGGTAGGGATCGTCGCTCCCGCTTTCCTCACGCATCCAGGATGTGGATGGGCGACGCGCACGGCTTTTTTGGTCAGCGCTGCCTCGGAGAGGGAGGGGAGGAGGCGAAACGACAGAGGGCGCAACACTTAGATTGCCGATTCAATCGTCACTGTGCGCACCGCGGGAACCTGGAGCGCGATACCATCGACGCGCACATATTTATGTTGGGGCCACATATCGGACACCTTGCAGTTGGGGATCGTGAGGTGCGGTTCGGTCCTGAGCGGGGTTGGGGCTCAACGGCTTTCGGACGAAACCCAAAGCAATATAACTATCTGCGTGGCACCACCGCGCTACCCGATCTTGGCACATCGCCCGTGACAATATCTGCGCGTGTATCTCTACATCTATATATCTCTCTCTATCCTACCTCCCTCTCTCTCTTTCTCAGTCTCTCTTCCTCTCTCTCTCTCCCGCAATCTACCTATCTCTCTCCATTCATATAGTCTCTGGGGGAACACCGAATTCATAACGTGCCTCTGCAGTATATGGACTACACGCTGTGTCCTAGCATCCAAAACAGGCAGCGTACTCGTTTCTGGCTCTTTTGCTTGTGCTGGCTCGTGGTGGCTCTTGGCCCTCAGGACGTCAACCGAGAGCCCCGAACGGAGTCACCTGGACACGAAAGGCGACCTTGATCCTCAAGATCCAGCGTCCTGGAGGAACTGCAAATCGAATCCTCCTGTCGGACCCATCTCTGCGACCATCTCTGGAAGCTCCGGGTACGGTAGGTTTGTGCGGCGTCGACGCGCGCAAAGGTTCTTGAGACCGCGTCGATCCTTCAACCTTGAACCGATCGCGGCCCCGATCGTTCAAGGTTGAATCCCGTCGGGCCCAACGGCGTTACGTCCCTCGGTGCTTCCGCGTCGTTCTATCATGAGGCGTTCAACGTTGAACGCCTTCGCCGGCGTCGAGGGCGCGCAATCGCCGCACGAACCTACCGTACCCCTCCGCTGATCTCTCTTTCGAGGGAACGCTCTTCCTCTGCGCCGGCCTCCGCCGACCTCCCGCGGGCCTCCGGCGGCGGAGCCGCCCTTTGCCGCAGATTCGCGCCGGGGGCGAGAGGTCGACCGATCGCATCCTCGAGGGCGGGGCCCTGTCTGGAGTGCCTTCTCACGCCCTAGTTTTTTTGGGTCGGGCATGTCCTCGGATAGGAGGGTCTTGGAAGAAGCATGACGACTAAGTCAAAGAAGGAAGAAAAGCAGACAACAGCACAAACATACGAGTCACAACGTCCCTGTACTTTTTCTTACCGTTCTCGGATACTCCTTCTGTGGAGGGGCATGCCCGCCTTAACCCCAGTTCGAGTGAGGCGCCCGCGAGCGGCCTTGGAGCCCTGGAGGAGCAGGAGGTAGTTGTTGTAGGCCGCCCCCGCGTCCAGCGCCCTCAGCTGCTGGAGCGCCTCGAAGCCGGGCCGGAAGCGCTGAAACTGGCCCTCGGTCATGAACTGGGCGCCCCACGCGTGGCGCGAGCCTTGGTCGTCGAGTAACGGAAGGGGGGGGGGGGGGGGGCGATAGGCGCGGGAGGGGAAGACACGTGCACCCTCTGTTTCGTACACCTGTAAGGCCCCCGGGGAGGGGGGGGGGCGGCCTGCAGGGCCCCGGAGGCGCACCCACGGCGCACCTCTCGTCGCCCTCCCACATCTGCAGCCCCGCCCCCTCCGTTACGCAACGCCGGCGGGGCCGAGCTTGCCGCAGGCCCGGGAGAAGATGCGGAAGCAGAAGAAGGCGATGCCCTCCTCGCCGTGAGGCTCCAGCGAGGCCTCGCGGAGGCCAGTGTGGGGGGGGGGAGGCATGGCGCATCGCGCGCCCCCGAGCGCGAGCCCGAGCCCCTAGTGCGCACCGCAAGCTCTGGCCGCTCGCGGGCCCGCCGTCCCGGGTAAGTCCGTGCCCACGCGCGGCCGCCCGCAAGAGAAACTCTGAGGCTCGCGCCAGGCGGGACAACTGCATTGCCTCCCGGCCCTGCTTCGGCCTCGGCGCAGCCGAGGCGGAGGTTGAGGAGGGGGGACGTGGGGGAGGCGAAGTGGGGGAGGGGGAGTAGGTGGGCCTCGATTTGGCCACCTTTTTCGCCCCCGCCTCTGAATGCCAATTTCTGGCAATTCTTGCTTCTGCGTGCTCATTTCCGACGCTCCGCATCACTCGGCAGTCGTTTCCCAAGAGGGCGAGACGCGTCATTCTTGAACAAGCACGGGGCCTTCGGCGCAGAGGCCCTCGTCAAAAGACGCCAGGGGAAGGAGGGAGAGCAGTGGGAACGAGACAAGGAGGCCAGGGGGGGAACCATTGACTTGGAATCGGCGATGCATCGCCGAGAGTCCCTCGATAACGACACCGCACGTGCTCGGGCGGGGTGGGATACAGTCGGACCTGGGCCAGAAGAGCATCCCCCAAGAAAATCAGACCCTCCGTCGGCCAACACGCACGCACAGAACATCATCGGGTAACCCTCCCCAAGACGCGCAAGAGCATCAAGCAAACACGAAGAGCACTGGGGCACCCTCCGCGAACCGACCTCGACCTTATGCCTCGGCCCGGCTGTACCCAGGCCCCGATCGCGACGAATGGTCGAGACGGGGTCAACGCTGCCGCCCTCGCGCCAGTGCCCCCCTGTCGCCATCCCCGAGCCCAGACATGCGGCGTCCCTGAGCCCTCCTCCTCCTCCTCCTCCTCCTCCTCCTCCTCCTCCTCCCCCTCCTCCTCCTCCTACTCCTCCCCCTCCACCTCGTCCCCCTCCTCCTCGTCCTCCTCCTCCTCCTCCTCCTCCTCCACCTCGTCCCAAACAAGCACGCGGTCCCTGGAAGCCTCGACCCGTTCCCTGGGGCCGGCCTTGCATCCCGAGGGGCCCGGTGAGGAGCCCACGGAGGGCCCCCTGAGGCCGAAACCCGTGAAGCAGCCTCCCGCCATGATAACTTCACACGCCGCGAGCACTTCTTGGGGAAACCAATATCGGGGAGACGTAAGACCCGGTTACGGGGGACTCGGAAATCCCCGACGAGGTCGTCAAAAAAATGACGAGGCCGAGCCTGCATTTTGACGAGGCCTCCCGCTGCAGACATCCCACGAAACTACTCCTCGTCAAAATCCGAGTCGCGGTCGTCAAAAAACGATGGCGAACCCGAGTCCCGGCAAACCCGGGTCTTACGCTCCCCCGACAATAGGTACCGATACCGCTACGCCCCGGACCTCTCCTGGGATGCGTTCTGACCAGAATTTCGAGGCGAATCCCGCGGTGGCGACGAAGGCCTCCCAGGAGGCAGAAAAAGGGGAAAACGGGTGCAGGGTACCGGTATGGGTACATTTTCCTCCTCGGACGTCTTGGAGAGGAGGGGGTGGAGGCCTTCACGTGTGCCAGGTTGGCGGGCACGCTCTCGGCCATCAGGAACTCGCTGAAGCGGAAGTTCACGCGCAGGCAGTCCGAGATCAGGCCGCGGTGCCTCGCGGGCAGCCGCTGAAAGGAGGGCACCACCTCTGGCTTCGTCTCCAGCACGTGGGCGAGGACACCGTCGTGAATGTGGGCGCTCACCTGTCGTCGACTAGACGTAAGAGTGACCTTTCGCAGGAGTGACCTCTGGTGCGGGCACAGACGGGTCCCCAGATGGCTGAAAACGAGGCGGTAGCAGCTGCCTGCGCGTCCAGGCTTGGTCCCCCCGCGGCCCCCCAAAAAGCTGCGCACCAAAGGTCACTCATACCCAGGGCCACTCTTGAGCATAGCCGATGTCGGCGGCGCGCAGGGCGACGACGGCGACGACGCCGTTCGGGGAGGTCTTGGGGGGGGAGTCTCCGGGAGCCCCCGCCGCCACGGCCGGGCGCGGCCGGCACAGCCGGCCTGGACGGATCCACGGAGGGGGGTGCGAAAGGGGGGGATAGCAAAGGGGGGGTTTGAGAATCAGCTCACGTAGCTGATTTTCCCGGCGCCTCCCGGCGCCGGGAGGCGCCCATGTATCGAGGAATGGGCCCCTCGGCGAGGCCGAAACCAGCTGCATGCAGCAAATTCCGTAACGCCCCCTTTCCCAATCCCCCCCTTTCGCCCGACCCGATCCACGGAGGGGGGTGCAGGGGCCGGCTCCGAGGAAAGCTCTGGGGTCGGGGGTGGGCCTCTCAGGAGGGGCCAGGGGCTTTCCAGAGAGAGCTTCTCGGCGCACCCTCTGCCCTCGGAGGAGGGCCCTCCCCCTCGCGCCACCCTCGCGTGAGGGCTTCCGATCGCCTTCGGGGCAAACTCCTGGCGGAATTCTGGGATGGTGCCCAGAGCGCTGATCGCGACAAACGTGAGCATGGCGTCGAGGGCATCCTCGGACATCAAGCGCACGCCCTGCTTCATCCACCCCTGGATCCAAGACCAGGCATGCCTGGAGAGCAGCTCGTTGTCTGCCTGGCCGCGGATGAAAGCCTCGTGTTGTCCGGTGACGAGCCAGTAGACAGACATCATCGCGCACACCGTCTTGGGCAACTGCTCGGAGTCCGCCGCGTTGAAGTACGACAGCTCGGGGAATGTCCGCTCCAAGCGCGCCTTGAACTGTGCCTCTGAGATCTTGTTGGCCAACACGTCGGACGCCAATTCCCTACCTTGCATCCTGAGGGTGTTCAGTACCGACGCGTTGCGGACAGGAATCCAGACCTTCGGCACCACGACGACCTCCGCGCTGCCGCTCTTCACGAGGTCGAAGGATATCTCCTGGAACGTGACAGAGCCTGCGAAGTCCTGAGTGAACACGGCCAGCTTCACCAAATCTATGGTCGAGACGGCACAGGAGCTCCACCGGAAATGCCTCTCGGCTTCACGGTACACCTGCAGCAATATCCGGAGCGCAGGCAGGATTCCGACCTGCAGCGCGCAGAACGCAATATGTTAACCCGCCCGTCCTCCTCCTCCCTCCTCGCCTTCTTACTCCACTTCGCCCATTCCCCCCTCCCCTTTTCCAAATTCAGTTTTACTGCTTCCCTTTTCCCTTTTCCACCCCCCCTCCCCCATCCCTCCCTTGCCTCTTCCCGCCCGCCCCACCTCCCCTTCCCTCGCCCGCCGCCCTCCCCCTTCTCCACCTCCCCTTCCCCTCCGCCTTGAGTCTGCCGTGGGGATGGCGGCCCAGGGCCACGGGCCGCGGGAGAGTTGGGCGGAAACTCCAGCACAGTGCTGCGTGGACTCTCCAGCAGCCCTTGGCCCTGGGGCTTGGAAGAGCGGGCTTGTCTCCTTCGGGCAGGGGAGGCGTCGGAAAGGGGGGCTGGAGAGGAGAGCATTCTAGGCAGGCTTCTCCCCCTCAGGCCTGCGAGTTCGAGAGGGCGTTGGAGAGGAGAGCCCGGCCACCCGCGAGGACGAAGCCAGGCTTGGCCGCAATGCCGTCCGCAGTGAGGTACCTTCGCGAGGGTCCCAAGAGAAGACAACAATGAAGGCCGTTCGCTCCAGTACATTGAGAGATCACGATGGGATTGATCAGACGGGTCCCAGGAGGCAGCTCGGACCGGCATGATTCTCATGATCCACGGTCCAACTGATAATGATGCAGGGGAAGCTTTAGAAGCACGCACGGTTGGCTCTGGTTCTGGCTTCTGGTCTCTCACACCGCGTCGGACGTTCAGTATCGCGCAATCTTGCGCGGTCTCTCGCACTGCGTCGGTCGTTCAATTCTGCGGGTCGGACTCGAGCCACCGGCGGCCTTCAACCCTTGAGCGTCCGCGCTGGCGACGCCGCCGCGCCGAAGCGGCCCGGACCCGCCGCACTCGTTGCCTGGGCCAGCTGGGGCCGTGGAGGCTCGCGGGTCCTGCCCCCATCCGCTCCCTGCTCCACAGGGGCAGCCATCTGCGCGCTCCCGCGCTGCCCCCAACTTCGCGCTTCGCGCTGCGCGAAGCGCGAAGTGCGAATAACTTCGCGCTCTCGCGCCACCCCCCCAAAGGGAGAAAAGGAGGACAAGGAGGAGGAGGAGAAGGAACGAGGACCGCGAAGCGCGAAGCGCGAATAACTTCGCACCCTCGTGGGAGCCCTTGCAGGAGGACGAGGCCAGTGCGGACGAGGAGTCGCGCCCTCGCGGCGGCCCCCGGCTCGGCGGCCCGCCACGGGCTGAACGGGCGGTCGGAGGCGACGGGACGCAGCCGCTCCCAAGACCTCCCCTGACCTTCCAGAGAGCTATTTTTTAGCACTGGAGACCTAAAAACCTAAAAAACGAGACGAAACAGCCTAAAACCAAGACGTAGAATAGCTCTGGGATAGGTTTTTAAGTCGCGTGCTATTTTTTAGCCCTCCTGGAAGGTCAGGGTCGGGAGAATCGGCCAGCCGGTGGAGCCCGTGCGCGGCGGTTTCAAGGCGTGCGCAGGGCGGGGCCCTCCCCGGTGCGGGCGTGCCCGCCGGGTTGCCGCAGTCGGGGCTCCGTGCGGGCCTCGAACCCGTTTCGAGGGGCGCGAGGTGCGTGGTGGGCCAAAAAGGGTGCGCCCACTCCGTTCGAGTGCGCCCAGGCCATGATGATGATGATGATGATGATGATGATGATGATGATGATGATGATGATGATGATGATGATGATGATGATGATGATGATGATGATTATGAACATCATTATCATCATCATCACCATCATCATCATCATCATCAAACTCATCCTCATCCTCATCCTCATCCTCATCCTCATCCTCATCCTCATCCTCATCCTCATCCTCATCCTCATCCTCATCCTCATCCTCATCATCATCCTCATCCTCATCCTCATCCTCATCCTCATCCTCATCCTCATCCTCATCATCATCCTCATCATCATCCTCATCATCATCATCCTCATCATCATCATCATCATCCTCATCCTCATCCTCATCATCATCAACATCATTGCTAGGGCCCCCCACTGGAGATGGGGCACGCAGTGTGGGGTGAGGGAGGGGTCCACAGCGGCTGCACCGATTGCCCGCGGACGCGCTCAGGGTGGCCGCGGCTGGGGCCCTCTGCGGCGCTCGAAGCGTGCGGGTCCAAGCAAGCTGCAGCCCTGGGAGCAGCGGCAGCAGCCGTGGAGCAGCAGTGCCCAAAGGTGGGGGGAGGAGGCTGGGCGCGAGGAGCAGCGGACACGAAGCGGGGGCCCAGCCCTGCAGGCTCGTGCACAAGAGCGCATCGTTCCCTGGTATGCTGTATTCTTTGTAAGACCGGCCAGAAGCCGACCATGAAATTGATGTAGAGGGACTGACGAAGGGACAACCATCGGGACAACCGTCTTCAGCCATCGAGCATCCTCTATCGGTCTCGTTATCTCTTGGCCGCACTATCTATCCACCACTTTCACCATCAATATATTCGTCGATTGGTCGATCTCACGATCGGATTCACAATCTATCGACCACACTACATGTCGATCTCGCTATCTATATGTGTCTTGCTATCACAATATCTGTATCGGCCTTACTAACTCTCTGTCGATCTCACGAACGACCCATCTCACTATCAACCCACCTCACTACCCATCTCTCTATCGACCTCATATCTACCTACCGATCTCAAGATCTACCCGTCGATCCCATGATGCATCCATCGGGACAACAACGGGTGTATGTTCGTTGCGTGTTGTCCAGTATCTCGAGGCGCCGAAGGCACCGAGCAAATCGTTTTGGGGCCGTAATGCATCGGGACGACCATCGGGCCAACCATCGGGACAACCATCGGGACCACCATCCAGACAATCATCGGGACAACCATCGACACAACTATCGGACAACCATCGGGACAAGCATGAAGACAATCACGAGACAACCATCGGGACAACCACCGGGACAACCATCGGGACAACCATGGGGACGTTCATCGGGACAACCATCGGGACGTCCATCGGGACATCCACCGGGACAACCATCGGGACAACCATCGGGACAACCACCGGGACGACCACCGGGACGACCGCGGGCCCAAATCCGCCAAACGGGTGGAGAAGAGTCTCTTGCTGACTCCACCCAAGCAGCGGCGGGTAAACTCCTCTCGCCCACGCACGCAACTTCTCCCCGCCCGAACGCACGGCACGAACCCAAAACCGATTTCCTGGTGGGAGGTCCCCAATCTCACCCCGCAACCTTCGACATGTGTTTACTCGCCGATGGGAGTAAAGGAGAGCCCAACCAATAATTAGTCGAGGCACCTCTCTACGCCAAACGCATCTGCAAGAAACGCCGATGCCAACGCTTCCATCAACTCCACCTCTCCTAACCCATACCTCTTTCAACTTTTTACCTGGGCCCCACTTCCGGGAGACATCCTGGCCAGTACCTCAAGCAGGGCGCAGACTCAAGATATAACAATGTTCAAAACTGGGCATCATCTCTCGGAGGTCCGCGCGGATTTCTTGGATCGGCGCTGGATTCCCCTCCCAGGTGCGCGGGGCGCGCTAGGGGCGGCATCGGAGGCGCCGCCAGGGAGTCTAGCGTCGATCCCAACAGAAGCCGCGAGGGCGCGCTCCGCGCACCAGGGGAGGTGGATCCAGCGCCGATCCGAGAGATCCGCGCGGACGTCGGACAGCTTGTTGATCTGTAACTTTTCTTTAGAGGCCTCCCAGATGGGGTCCAAGCAGATGGGGTCGGAAGATTGCGCCGAATCGCCGATGGATCACCGACGCATCACCGATGCATCGGCGATGCATCCGCGACGTCGGCGATGGAACGGCGACGTCCGCGTGAAGCAAGTAGGGCTGCACATCGAGCCGCATCGGCGATGCATCGGTGTTGCGGCGCGATCCTCCAATCCCATCTACTCCGACCCCATCTGGGAACCGGGTCAGTCCAGACCCGGGTCACTTAGGCGCTGCAGGATCCTGCAGGATCCAGCGCTCTGGCTGACCCCCCCGTTTGCATCGACCCCCGTCTCGAGGCTCCCGATTTTTCTTCGAGTTGGACGTCAGGGGCGCCTCGCGAGCGCGGAGCGCTCGGCGCTGGACAGCTGGCCGAACGCCTCGCGGACCTTCGCGGCGAGCCTGAGGGGCGGCTCGCTCTCGGCCCACCGCCGCTGCGCTGCTAGGTCTTGGCCCTCATTCTCCTCCTCCCTCTTTCCCCTCCTCTTGCCTCCTCCTGCTAATGCTCCTCCTCCTCCACCTCCTCCTCCTCCTCCACCTCCGTCCCCTCCTCCTCCTCCTCCTCCTCCTCGTCCTTGTCGTCGTCATCATCATCATCAGCATCACCATCACCACCATCATGATCATCAGCATCACCATCATCACCATCACCGTGAACAGCATCACAATCATCACCATCATCATCTGAAGTACCATCATCATCATCCTCATCATCAACACAATCATCATCACGATCATCACCATCACCATCGCGACCACCACCACCACCATCATCATCATAATCATCATCATGATCATCAGCATCATCATCACCATCAGCAGCAGCGTCGTCATCATCATAATCATCATCATAATCATCACCATCACTACCAGCTCCATCATCATCATGATCATCATTACCAGCATGATCATCAACATCATTATCATCAGCATCATCATCATTATTATTATCATTATTATTATTACTATTATCACCATCGCCACCACCACCATCATATCACCACCATCACTCATATCAGCATAATCATCGTCACTAGCTTCTTCCACCGTCTCTCGCTCCTCCTCAGTCTCCACCTCCTCCTCACCATCGTCATCATCATCACCACCAGCATCATCATACTCACCATCACTTTCATGATCATGATCATGATCATGATCATCATCATCATCATCATCATCATCATCATTGTCAGACCCAGGATCATCAGGATCAGCATCATCAGAATCACCATCCTCATCATAATCATCATCATAATCACCACCATCAGCATCATCATCACCACCACCATCATCATCATCATCAGCATCATCATCATCATCATCATCAGCATCATCATCATCATCATCATCATCACCAGGATCAACATCATCATCTTCAGACCCCACCTCCTCCCTATCATCATCATTTCCTTACTTATCCTCATCTCCCTCCTTCTCCTCCTCCATCCTCCTCCTCCTGGCCCTCCTCCGTCTGCTCCTCCTCCCCCTCCTCCTCCCCTCCTTCTTCCCATTCGGCCTTCGGGCCTGACCTGGACCCCGAACGTGTGCAACAGCTGCGCGGATGGAGGGCGGCTCCTCTTCAAATCAGGGCTGCCGCTGGGCACTTCCTCGAATTCTGCGAGCCCGCTCTGTCCCAGTCCGAACCGCTCGAGAGATGGACGGCCCGGACGGCCGATTCTTTCAGGGTGGAGCTCCCGCCTGAACAGCGGACCCATGGGGCGGTCACCTTTCAAGGGGAGCGCTCTGCGCAGCGAGGAGGATGTCTTTAGCCACCAATGGGGAAGGGGCTTGGGACGGGAGGGTGGTTCGCAGCATCGTTGATTCGTCTTTGGTTTACTCTGCTCTTCCTCTTCCTCCCCTCCTCCTCTTCCTCCTCCTCCTCGTCCTCGTCCTCGTCCTCGTCCTCGTCCTCCTCCTCCTCATCCTCCTCCTCCTCCTCCTGCTCCTTCTTCTTCTCCTCCTCCTCCTCCTCCTCCTCCTCCTCCTCCTCCTCCTCCTCCTCCCCCTCCTCCACCACTTCCTCCCCCGTCCTCCTCCCTCTCATCGCTTCAATTATTTTCGTCTGCGCCCTGAAAAAGGGCACGCGCCCTTTGCGCGCGAACCGCATCTGGATGCCAGCGGCGCGCGCGCCCTGGAGGTTCCAGGCCACGGCCCACGCTACCACTTTGGAGGCGGCTTGGGGGTCTGAGCTGGTCGGGCCCCGAGAAAATCGGTCAAGAGGGACGGGTGACGCCAAATCCGCTCAAAATCGGTCCCCCAACCCCTCTCAGGGTCCATGTGGAGCAGGTTTCACACTGGATCCGTTGCTGACTGTCCAAGGCCCCGTAGCCTGCTGCCGGATGCCGAAACAGTCAAACACCTTCTCGAATCCAGAACCTCGAACCTGCCCCTCCCCCTTCCTGCTGGACGGAACCAGTGCTGGAGCACCTCAGACCCCCAGCCGGCCCCAAAAATGCACCACTGCCACCTGCCCATCTTCTGCTTGCTGCAGCCCTGAATACGATCGTCCGAAGTGTCCACGTCATGCAAGCAAGGGGCAGATGAACTCGACGTTGGCTCGCGCCCGAGCAAGCGAGAAGCATTGCACTCGCCCGAAAGAGCGAGTGATGCGACCTGCATTTTGACGCATCTCTGGAAGACGCAACCTCCACTATTCGGCTACACGCAAGAGTGACCCTAGGTAAGAGTGACCTGTAGTGCGCGGATTAAGGGGTCGCAGAAATGGCCAAATCCAAGCGCGCAAGCAGCCACTATATCGCATCGCGCTCAGCGATCGGGGGACCCCGATGAACCCGCACCACAGGTCGCCCAAGCGAGAGGTTACTCGTACGTCTAGTCGAACTCTACCCCTATCCGCGCTCTCCCCCCCTCCCCAAACCCCGACGTCGTGATTTTTCCAAAACGTCGACCCCCAGAGCTATCGACCCCTTCTCTGGGACCGGCTTTTTATCCTGAGTCGCTTTTTCTTCGCATTTTTGTGACGCTCCCGAAACCCGGGAAAAGGCCCCCGAGAGGCTCAACATCTGGAAGCCCTTCCCGCCGTGATGTTCGTCACCGCGCGAGGGGGGCTGGGTCCGCCCCCCTCTTCCTCCCCCGCCTTCGGCCTGTGCTCAGGGGAGGCCACACCACCGCTCAACGATGTGGTGCGTTCCGAACCTGCAGGGTGGGTCCTTTCAACTTTCTGTGCGCTTCAATCTTGGCTCCGACCTCAGCTGTTGGTGCACTGCTAAGCGCCTTCGGGCCAGCTCGCCTTTCTTGCGCAGGCTGGAGGGCGCGCGGGCGCGCCAGCAGCGTCAGGCGCCCACGGCGGGCCGCGGGCAAGCAAGGCATGCACCGTGTCAAACAGACAACAAGACCCAAAGAGAAACAGAAGGGAGGCAAGGTGCCCCCCTCCTCTCAGGAGAGGAAAAAACACACAGACACAATTAATCGTCGATTCCCAGGAAAATATGCGAAAATATGGACAGTGGTGGGGAAGACAAAAACCAAGAAAATATGGGTAAATATGGGGAATATTTTTATTTGTGTGTATTTATTTGTGTGTCCTGGGGCCCCTTCATCCTCTTCCCCCCCCCACTCCGCAGGCGCTCCGAGGCAGAAGTTCCGCGGGACGGTGCCAGGCCGACCTCCAGAGGCCCCCCTCCTCCGCCCTGCGCGCGGGGCCTGGGCCCTCGACGCCGGCGGCGTTCGGCGCTCGGCGGGGACCACGCGAAGGCTTTCGGCCCCCCCTGGGGGGCTTCGGGCGCGGCCGAACCGATCCCTGGCTGATCATCCCCGTCCGTGACGTCATCCTCGCCCTCCAAGCTTCCCTCCGGCCGCACACACACACACACACACACACACACACACACACACACACACACACACACACACACACACACACACACACACACACACACACACACACACACACACACACACACACACACCACACACACACACACACAC